TCTGCACGAGTTTGTTAAAGATTGGACTTGGGGCTGGAAGGATAGGTTGGAGTCCAGAATGACACCAAGTACTCTGGCCTGCAGAGCGGGTTTGATATTGACGTTGTTGGATGTGATGTAGAAGTCAATGGGGGGTGGGGTTCGGGCTGGGGGGAAGACAAGGAGCTCGGTTTTGGAGAGATTCAGTTTAAGGAAGTGGAGCGACATCCAATCTGATATGTCGCTCAGTAGGTGTGTGATTTGGGCAGAGACCGAAGGGGTGAGGTGGGGGGTTGAGAGATAGATTTGTGTGTCGTCGGCATAGAGGTGGTAGTTGAAGCCGTGAGAGTGTATGAGTTGGCCAAGGGAGGAGGTGTAGATGGAGAAGAGAAGGGGCCCAAGGACAGAGCCTTGAGGGACCCCACAACAGAGAGGGGGAGTGAGGGGGAGGTGGTAGCATTATAGGTAACGCTGAAAGAGCGTTGTGACAGGTAGGATGAGAGCCAGGAGAGAGCAGAATCTCTGAGGCCGAGGGAGTGTAGTATTTTGAGGAGGAGGGGGTGGTCAACTGTGTCGAAGGCCGCAGAGAGGTCAAGGAGTAGGAGCACTGAATAGTGGCCATTAGCTTTGGCGGTTAGAAGGTCGTTGGAGAGTTTGAGTAAGGCGGTTTCGGTGGAGTGTAGGGGGCGGAAGCCAGACTGTAGGGGATCGAGGAGGTTGTTGTCGTTGAGGTGAGAGCATAGGCGGGTGTAGACGAGACGCTCGAGGAGTTTAGATGTAAGTGGGAGCAGGGAGATGGGTCTGAGGTTGTTCGGGTCATTGGGGTCCAGGGAGGGCTTTTTAAGTATGGGGGTGATGTGTGCATGCTTCAGTGGGGAGGGGAAAGTGCCGGAGGAGAGGGAGAGATTAAAGATGTGGGTGAGGGAGCGTAGGATGGAGGGGGAGGGAGGTCGTAGGAATTGTGAGGGGATAGGGTCGAGGGGGCAGGTGGTGAGGCGGGCATCAGAGAGGATCTTGGAGACTTCCTCAATGGTAGTAAGGTCAAAGGTGTGGAGTGTTGGGGGAGCTTCAGTATGAGGAATGTAGGGTGGGGTGGGAGTGGAGGTCAGAGCAGTGGTGGGGCCGTGGGAGAGGGGTGACGAGGGGGTAGCCGAGTGAGGGGGAATGGGGTCGGAGGGAGTTTGAGCAGTGACGAAGTCCCTGCGGGTAATGTCCAGGGGGGGGGATGAGGGGGTAGCTGTGTGAGAGGGGACGGGTTGAGAGGGCGTGTGAGTTGCGGCAATGTCCTTGCGAATTGTGTCAATCTTGTTTTTGAAGTGATTGGCAATCTCAAGGGCGGTGAGTGAGGTGCTGGGTGGAGGTGGAGGTGGGGGTGGAGAGAGTAGAGAGTTGAAGGTGGAGAAGAGTCGGCGAGGATTGGAGGAGAGGGCCTTGATGAGGGTCAGGAAGTAGGCTTGTTTGGCTGCGTGGAGGGAGGAGGTGTAGGTGCGGAAGGCAGATTTGTAGCAGGTGAAAGCTTGTTGGGATTTTGTTTTGCGCCATTGCGCCATAGTCGCTCCAGGGCACGACTGCGTCGTTTGAGGGTTTTGGTGTGATCAGTCTGCCAGGGCTGGAGCGGTCGGAGTCTGATGTTGCGTGTGGTTAAAGGCGCTAGTGAGTCAAGGGCTGCTGACAGCACGTTGTTGTAGGCAGTCATAGCCAAGTCGGGGCAGGACAGGGGAGGATGCGGTCGTGGAGTTGATCAGCTGCAGAGTGGAGGGGGGCAGGGTTAAGGTTGCGGAGGTTACGGCTGGTAGTAGTGTGACATTTGGAGGGGTTTTTGTTGGAGGACGAGGAGATAGAGAAGGTGATCAGGTTGTGGTCAGAGAGAGGGAAGGGGGTGTTAGTGAGGTTGTGGGGAGCGCAGCGGTTGGAGAAGACAAGATCAAGGATATTACCGTCGGAGTGGGTGGTGGATTGTATGCACTGTGCAAGTGCAAAGGAGGAGGTTAAGTGGAGGAGACGGGCTGTGTCCGGGTTGTCAAGGTTGACAGGGATGTTGAAATCCCCAAGAATGATGGTGGGTAGCTCAGAGGAGAGGAAGAAGGGTAGCCAGGAGGAGAAGTCTTCCAGGAAGCGGGGTATGGATCCAGGAGGCCGGTATATCACAGCAATCTTCAGGGGGGTTGGGAAGAATAGTCTGACGCAGTGGGCCTCGAAGGAGGAGAAGGATAGGGAGGGGGGGTTTGGGAGGACTCGGAAGGTGCTCTGCGGTGACAGGAGCAGACCAACCCCACCACCTTTTACGACCGTTAGGTCTGGGTGAGTGGGTCCAGGTGAGACCTCCATAGGAGAGTGCAGCAGGGGAGGTAGAGTCAGTGGGCTGGATCCAGGTTTCCGTGATCGCCAGGAGGTTGAGGGAGCGGGAAACAAAGAGGTCGTGGATGGCGGTAAGCTTGTTGCACACCGATCGGGCGTTCAGGAGTGCACATGAAAACGGGGGGGGGAGATTTTAGGGAGCAGGGGGACAGATACTAGGTTGCGGTAGGACATGGCGGCGGGAGGGTGTTGTGCGGGTGAGGGAGGTGGAGGGCCAGGATTCGGGGAGATGTCTCCCGCGGCTAGGAGGAGGAGAAGGGTGAGAAAGGTGGCATGGGAGCGGGATGTGCAGGAGCGTGAGAAACTCCTAGTGGAGGTGTTCGGGTCAGTGGGAGAGTGGAATAATAGGAGGAGGAGGTGGTGGGTGCCATAGAGGGGGCGAAGGAAGCAGTGAGGACACAATATACAAATGTTTAGGAGGAGCAGAGGGATATAGTGAATGGATTTTGGGAATGGAGGAGAGGAAAATGAGAAGGAGTAGAAGAGGCATTGTGGGGGGTGATGAGAGCAGTAGTAGGGAGATGATAGCAATGAGGGGGAGATGTGCAGGTTTTGGGGTGGAGCAGAGGGGTAAAGAAATGAGATTTGGGAACAGAGGTAGTAGTATGAAGAGGAGTGTATTATATAAAGGGTACACAGAGTGGGACTCAGGCATGTAAGAGATGTTTCCCAGGGTGTTTGCTTGCAGTCTGTCCAGCATGCAGTAGAGTTTCTTGCTGTTGTGTCTTTCTCCTGCTTTAGTTCAACTGCTGTGTTTAACTGCTTCGCACTCTTTCGAAGCCACACTCCGTCAGAAGCAGCACCCCCATCAGAGACTGTGCCCCCCATCAGAGATCTCCCCCATGAGCTGATCTGAATTTATAGGGAGATGCTCAAATGAGCATTCAACTCCACCCCCAAATTAGTAGATGATAAGGCTCACATGAATGTTGGGGGATGTCTCATAGGAACCAGGCTACAGTCGTAAACTGGGTGCAACTGAAGGTGAGGACTGCTCAACATACACACAAATATAAAATACACCAAAATACTCTTGCTGACCACTTACACCTGTGCACTCTTGCATTAGTTTTGATTTACTACAGGAGTAAAAGGTGTTTACTTAGCACAGTGACTGTTCATTTAGAAAATAAGGTGAAGTGAGGGTCCTCTCACATTTGGGAGCTGTCTCAGTAACTCATAAATCATAAAGCTACCACTCAGGTAATGCAAAACGCTGGTGCGCCCTTTCTTCCCTGTTTTACAGTGCTTCTTCTGGGTTTCCCCCAACCCTTAGAGGGCAGCAAAGCCTGTATCAGCAATGGAATTGCTAAGGACCTGGGATCCATCTATAACCAGTACACCACTCTTGAGCACAGGGGATTTTTGCCTTTTCTGCTTTATTCATTTCAGTCATCCAATAATATTCAAGTCAACTTTCTGATTTTTCTAATGCCTCTTGCACACAGTTTCACTTCATTTACTAAACTAATGTTCCCATAGCATAACCAGTGGCTTGAATGTAAAAAAAAAAAAAAATTCCCTGTTCACAAACTTGATGTGGATGAGGGAAATCCTCCCTGCTAAGCCTTTGTATTCAGACAGCAGAGTGACTTCCCCACCATCTACTGTAAATACACGGATCAGCACTATTGGCTATAGCTTGCGGCACTGATGGAGTGGAAGTGGAAATAAATCCAACGGGCTGGTTGTACAAAAGTAAATCAGTAGATTGACTCCTGTACAAATACCCTGCCCATACATGAATCAAAATTCAGCCAGTTCCTGTTAAACTGGCTGAATTCCGATCCAAGTATGGCCAGCCTAAGTGGACATTCATCATGCTAAGTAAAGAGTCTTTAAGTGTTTGTGAATTAACCCTATTATCTTTTATCTTCTTGTTTTACAGTGAACACTCCAACCTTGGCACATAAAATAACTTTAAATTTACATTTCCATAATGCAGAATGAATCCTCGCCCTTTTCTAAGTACTTCTGTAATATATCTATTTATTAAATTTTTCTGCAACACAAGTAAAGACTACTATTTTTATTTAACATCTTTTGCACTTTATGTTAATTCTCCTGTAAGTGATTATTACCATTAAACTGACTAATTATCGATTAGTCTACTATACTTATTACCCACCACTTTTAGAAACTTAATTGGTATTACTGATAAATAAAATTAGTATTTTTTAAAATATAAAAACTACTGTACATGACAGATGCTGGTATTATTCCGCTGTTATAGTTTAAATGTTTATATTTATCTTTATAGTCCCAGAGCACTGTACAACACCTCCAGTGATCTCCTCTCATCTGTACTCCTGCTGTCAGTTAGTGTCAAATTAAATTATTTTACATCAACACAGGCAGCAACAAACAGGTGGGGAAACTGCCAAAGTAACTTGGCAGAAAGAAACTTAGCGGAAATAGTAGAGCTGCAGTCATATCCTTCACTCAAAAGGAACACCTCTGTTGTACTTAAGCTGGACAGGCAAATACTCTGAGGTGAACAGGAACAAAGTTAAAAACATTAAAGGGAAAGTCTCAATGCTGGAGTCTTCAAGCGATATAGGAAGCCATTGACCCCACTCCGAAAATATCAGTTTTCGATAGATTGACCCCTTAAGTAAATGCATGTACATATATTTTGATGCCAGTTAGAGTATAATGAATACCTGTATTTCTGTGTTGCCTCCATCAAGTAACCTAATGGCCAATAAAATGCTTTCTTGAAAGATCTTATCGTTCTTTGAGCTCATAATTAAATCAGCCACAAGTTTGGTGGCTCCTTCTCGATCTAATTTACACTGAATCGGTGCTATTAGAGACCAGTCGTGATCCTGACCTGTAAAATTATTTAAAAACAATATTACATTTTCAAATTAAGGACAATGAAATGAAAATCAGAAGTCAGTGAATGACGAAGTCAAGAAATAAAAGTAAGTTATAGGTAAGTGTCAAAGAATAATGTCAGCAAGTTTTAGCTCCAGCCCTGGAGCACGAACAGGGACACTGCATATTTACAATGTACAATGTTTTTATGTACAAAGGGCAGTATATATCAGCCTTATGGCAACAGAGAGATGAGAATCTAGAAAAGATACTGATTTACTAGGGAGAAAAGGTGTTTATTACCGATGGCAGAGCTGTCAGCTGTCTCGCCTTTAGTATTTGACTTCTTGTTTTGCAGGTAATTACTCAGAAGGGTTTTCCTTAGTAAATTTCCCTATGGGGACAGGAGCAAGAATCGAGTCAGAAAGGGAGGGAGAAAAACATAAATTGCAAGCTTCATTTATAAAGATGCTGAGTATCTGTGAACTAATAATGAACATGCTGAGCTATATAAAGATGCTGCTTATCTGTATACTGATAATGAACAAACCGCTCTGGATAATGATGCTGAGCATCATTAAACACTTATGGTGAAGCTGCTGTTCAGATTTAATTATGAGATAGAATTGATCTTAACTATGTGTGCCACAGATTTATGTACTGTACACACCTGTAGAGAAAACAGCGCAGACATCATCTGGCAACTTTTACAAATTAAACAAATGCAAAATGTAAATATTTCTATGAATGTATCAAAAAACACATCTCTACCTTTATATAAATATATATTAAAATGATAGGTCCTCTAAAATTATGTCTGGCCCTGTTGCTCAACATGCAGCCCACCATGGGGATGAGGAGGGTAACATTTGCACTGCCATGACAACCAATATGGGGGGGGGGGAGGACAATTTCACTACTATGACTCACTGTCATGATCACCAACGCAAAGAGGGGGAGGATTAAAGTATATGTAAACCTTCATCTTGTAAAACAACCCATTCAGTTTAAAATAGAAACGAAAGGTAAAACGTGTGTATATATAGATATGTGTAGATATAAAAAAAATAATCAATAACTTTTTTGCCCCTTTTTATAAGTGATCACCTATTCTCTGTTCTCAGCTGCATAAGAGCTGGGGGAGGAGAAACAGCAGCACACTGATGTTCAAAAGTGAATGGCTGTGCAGGAGGGATGTGTAAGGACAAGTCTGATCATCTAAGGCTGAGTTCTCAGCACAGCAAGCTGATGATGTTATGCTTCCTTGCTTAGTGTTGTCAGCTTTTAATAGGATAGCAGAAGGACTGGCACGAACACCCAGGATTTCACACAGAGAAAGCACTACAAAGAAAACACGGTACAGCAGGCACAAATCAGGAATATGAAATCTTCGGTTTACAAACTCTTTCACTCTTGGAATAGGAGCGGTGATGTTGGGTAGTTTAACACTTTCACTGCCACAACCCACAATATAGGGGGATTCACTTTCACTGCCATGATTACACACAAATGCAGAGAGGGGGGAATTCAATTTTTACAGCCATGACCGCAAATGCAGGGGGATGGGAGGGTTAACTGGCCATGACAACTAATGCAAGGGATGGGAGGGTTAACGTTCTCTGCTATAACCACCAATGTGGGGGGGGGGGGGGGGTGGTTACCTTTAACTGCCACTGACCATCAATGCAGGGTGGGGGTGTTAAATTTTATTGCCACTAATGTGGCAATGCAGGGGAGGGGTGGGGTTAACTTTCACTGTCAATGACCTCCAATATGTGTTACTGTTATTAGTACTGTCACCAATGTTGGGGGTTGTTTTTGCCGCCACTGACATCAATGCTGGGGGTAGTTACTGTGGCCACTGACATCTATCCTGGAGGTGATTACTGCCGCCACTGACATCAATGCGAGGGGGGTTAGTGCTTTATCTACTGAGGCCAAAGCTGGGGGTTACTATTGAGGTCAATGACCTCAATGCTAGGGGTTGTACTCCAACTTCTTCAGTGTGCATTGCGATACCCTGCAAAAAATGCAGCAGGACCAAAATTTTTGGGCATTGAGATGGGTAAGATCCCACTCAAAATTATGTTTGACTTTGGGGATGGGGAGGGTAACATTTGGGTAACATTTGCACTGCCATCACATGAAGTAATTTCTATAAAGCAGTTTAGATCAAAGTATACAAAGTCCTCTTGATACCAATGTTTTAACTACAAATACCCACCAAAAGGATTAGATACATTATGTTTTTGAAAACGAATTTTCACGTTATATACCTGTTGTCTCATTCTCTTAGCAAAAGTCCTGGTTGCCTGTCCAACATTTTGCAGGCCACACGGGCACAGCAGCAAGTATACAACCCCTTCCTGTATTACATGAGATACAATTACTTTTCTGTATTTGTCACTAAGACCGTTCTCTCTATCTTATATTTTGTTTGCTTTGATTGCATGCCTGACATCTTCTGAATGCAAATAATCCCTTTCCATCATAAAAGTATGCTGTACTCTTCCCCAAAGGGTCTATTTCGCACTAATTTGTCTTTTAGGTCTGGGGCCTTTTATTTACCGTATTTTTTTCTCCATAAGACACACTTTTTCCCCAAAAAAATGTACTGTACTATGTCTGCAGTCTCTGGTCATCTCCTGTACTATGTCTGCAGTCTCTGGTCATCTCCTGTACTATGTCTGTAGTCTCTGGTCATCTCCTGTATTATGTCCACAGTCTCTGGTCATCTATTGTAGTATGTCTGTAGGCTCTGGTCATCTCCTGTACTATGCCCGCAGTCTCTGGTCATCTCCTGTACTATGTCCGCAGTCTCTGGTCATCTCCTGTACTATGTCCGCAGTCTCTGGTCATCTCCTGTACTATGTCTGCAGTCTCTGGTCATCTCCTGTAGTATGTCTGCGGTCTCTGGTCATCTCTTGTAGTACATCCGCAGTCTCTGGTCATCTCCTGTAGTACGTTCGCAGTCTCTGGTCATCTCCTGTAGTATGTTCGCAGTCTCTGGTCATCTCCTGTAGTAGGTCAGCAGTCTCTGGTCATCTCCTGTAGTACATCCGCAGTCTCTGGTCATCTCCTGTACTATGTCTGCAGTCCATTGGTTCAGAATATTTTTTTTCTTGTTTTCCTCTTCTAAAACCTAGGTGCGTCTTATGGTCAGGTGTGTCTTTTGGAGCGAAAAATAAGATATATATTTTGATGTATCTGGCAGTACAGAGCTCAAATGTTTGTTTGTTTTTTCCTTTGGATAGGCTAATTGGTATTGATATTTTTATCAATATCTCTGAATTGTGCATTATTATCTATAAAAAGTGCTAGTCTATATTCTCATTTGTATCTTTTATTAATACAACCCTATTTGCTGTATCTTCTTTATGAATGTTTTTTTCACTTATTTCAGAATTTTTGTCCCCTTTTTAAAAATATGTCCTACAGAAAACATTTAACAGTCTTGGTTAACACAAAAGACAGGTCTTTGGTTTTACTGAACACTATTGAACAAAAAAATATCAGCTTTAACTGAATTTCTCTTACCCGTTCTTCATAATCATTTTTCTTCATCAGCATTTGCTGTAAAGTCCGTAAAACTTTTATACACAGTTTTTCTTCAGAGGACATAAGATTTTTGGTGTGCTGAATCAATCTAAAAGTAAAAAAATCATAGCTTTCACTATGTCTTAAAGCGGAGTTTGAGCTGAGAAAAAAAAAAAAGGCAGCAACTACAAAAACTGTAGCTGCTAACTTTTAAAACACCGACATTTACCTGTCCCTTGGTCCAGCGGTGTCCTCACCGGCATCTTCAGTGTGGGCACCCGGCTGTGACAGCTTGCGGCTTAAGAGCCGGGTGCCCACTGCGCATGCGCGAGAAGCACTGCGCTTTCTGAATGGCCTCATAGTCTTCTGGGACCTGTCACGTGTCCCAGAAGACTACGGGGAGGGAGGGGGGGAGGACAACTTCTGCTTCTGATCACCTAGGCGATCACAGCGGAAGTGGGAGAGAGTACCTGTCAAATTCGGGTACCCGCTCCCCCAAGGTGCCAATCCTTATTGGGGAGCGGGGGCAAAGCATTAAAGCAGAACTTCTCCTTTTGGGTGGAGCTCTGCTTTAAGCATTTTCCTCCAGTTAGTTATCAGTCACTTTTACACTCTCTATATTCATAATTTTCCCTAAGAAAAAAAAAAATATTTACACAATTGTGTGGTATGTATACTTTAATTCTTTTCATGTAAAAATTCATGGCTATATCTATAATATTTAAAATGGAAAGTTTTTCTCCTCAGGTGTTTCCATATAACCCATAAAATTTCACTGATACTATATTTTCAAATAATCACTGTAAATTGCCTGTAGTACAGCCTGAATATAGTGCTGATTTTACATGAAGGCACGCTAACTTCATTGTCACTAAGTTGTGTGTAGAACCCTTTTCAATTAAAAAATTCTACACACATATGTGTACTCAGCTCTATGTACTCTGTTTAATAACTATATAACCACAGGAAAGGTAGGTATAGTATGGAGATGGCAGGAATTAATAACATATTTAGGCACAGTGCTTTGAATTATTCAAGCATCCCTTATCGTGAAAGCCCCCAGTTGCAAGAGTTCCAGTTAATAGATGTCTCACCCTCATTGCAAAATTGTTGACTCTGATAATTTAACTGTGCATGTGCTGCAGAAACAGAATGAGACACCTACTTAGAAATGAAGCCCCCAGTCTCACATCGTACACGAGCATCAGTTCCTTCTGCAAAAAGTAGTTCAGGATGATGAAGCACATCTACAAGCACAGACTGCTCAGCTTCTACAAGCGGCTTTAACTTTTCCTCCAATGTGTTTATAATATCCTAGTGAGAGTAGAATAAAGATGTCATTATTGAGCCCTGTGCAAGTCAATCTTGTGGCTTTATTCCATGGATAGCTGCCAATACAACTACTCACAGTTAAGTAAATTGGAAAGATATATTTAACATAGAAATAATCATTTTTTAATATAGATTGCTGATTAAAAACACTTATATTAAGTGGTGAATAATACTTGATAATGACAGTGTTGGGCTGTGCTTGATTGCTCTGCTTAAGAATCAATGTAAAGCAGCGCATGTTTCTGGAACTAAAGCCGACCATACATGGATTGAAATTCTGCCGGTTCAGCTGGGACCGGACACATTTTGATCCGTGCATGAGCCAGCTGGTTGTACACAAATCGATCTATCGATTGATATGTGTATAACCAGCTTGCTGGACTTTTCCCAAACAATCAGTGCCTCCGGCTATAGCCGGTAACACTGATCATTGTATCGGCTGCCTTAAGATGCATATTAAAACATTAGCTGGATCTGAACACATGGAAAAGGAGACCACTGCTTAATTCTAGTTTTGTCCTTCTCATTCATAACTGAAGCATAATAAAGTGTGTCTGCTATGCTTCAATTTATAAATGAACAGAAAGGATGTGCAGAGCTCTTCCGGTTTATTCATTCTATGCAGCTGAGGCTGCAGAAAGGAACTGGGGAATGTGTTATTATTATTATACAGGATTTATATAGCGCCAATAGTTTGCTCAGCGCTTTGTTTCCTCAGTCCCTTTCTGGCTCAACAGTAAAACTTCAGGGGTTTATTTAGACCTCTGATATTTCACAAAAGCTCCCCCAACACCAAAAGCATTGTGAAAAAAAAATGTAAAAAAAAAAATGCAACAAATAATAAAAAACAATAAAAATAATTACAAATATAAAAAATAATACAAAAAAAAATAAGAGCTAATTCACATGGGTTCTTTGACCTATACGGTGTGAAAGAGTGGATTGTTTGTGTGGCTTGAGCTGCTTTTTCCCTATGGAGATGCAGCAGCTGTACGAACACTGCCGCATGTCTTAATCTGACAGGTATGAAGGTAAGTGGCCCTGAATGCCTATGTCTGCTAATAAGGATTTTATTGTAAATAAATATATGTAAATATATATCTGAAATAACTCTTTAGCCAGTTGGCGTATCATGGCACATGGTGGGAGTATCTTAACGCACTGTGGCAGGTGGTAGGGGGCACCAGGTCAACTTTTGCACTGGAGCCCTCAAGCTTCAAGCTATGCCTTTGTTAGTATATTAATATGTGGCAGCTTTGTTGTGAGCAGGTGAAATGACAGTGGTTCTTTAAAATTGTACTCCAGCCAAACAGCATAACATATATAATATAAAAATATGTATGCAATACACATATCCATATCTTTCACATTAAGGATGTTTTTGATTCCATTCAGCCAGTCTGGTGTTTAACATACATCTTACACAAGGCATAACCAACAGGTTTGGAGCTTTCTAGTGTCACTAGTGTGCTTACTGGTGGGCTATGAAAAAGCATAAACACATTTCTGAGGTCCTACAATGTCCTTCTCTCCCTGCAAGTTATAAAAAAAAAACCTCCCAGTACGGGCGTGACGGGGATGAGCAGGGACAGTCCACACTTAGGGTACATTCATACTTGCAAATACCCGCTTGGAGATTAGCTGCAAGAACCCCTGCGGACATTCCCACGATTAGCCTTCAGCTAATCATTCCAACTCACAAATGATTAAATTGCAGCTGAACAGAACATTAGGTGGAGTGATTTGAGCTGTCTTCCAGTAACAGTTGGAAAAAAGATATCCTTCTATTTCAACCATTAAAAAAAAAATAGGGGGTAACAAATGGAAAACCTCCATACACAGAATTCTATAACCACATTTGATCCAAGGGAATGCAAACCCCCCCCCAACCTAAGCATGATAAAGTATACTTGAGCAGGAAAAAAATGTATTCCTTCCTGAACTCCCATATGGCAATCTGATATTTCCTGGATCAACAATGGTGTTATTACCTGTAAATGTTAAGATCCAGTTATATTCTGTTCATTTAGAAATACATCCAGTTCTTTTGTTAAAACAATCTACTAAGCTGGACAGAACTAGATCTTGAGGGAGTCTATTCCACATTTCTTCCACAGTTCTTCCATACGTGAAGGTTAAATCTCTTTTCCTCTAGACATAAAGAGTGCCCCCTTGTCCTTTGTGATGACCTTAAAGTGCTACACCAAGTTCACTATATGGACCACTTATGTATTTATTTAAAGTTGATAATATCCCCTCCTAATCGCTTCTTCTTTTCAAATTCTCAGAGTACATTCAGATCTTCTGAGCTACCTGATCCTTCTATCAGTTTGGTTGCCATTCTCTACACTTTTTCTGGAGATTCCCAGAATTCCCATGTAACCTGGTAAGTGCTGAGGGCTGGCTGGAGAAAAATAGGAAAAATAGGGTTGAAGAAGGGGGATTTTATTTTTTAAGGGTTTTTTTTTGTTAAAGCACGGGGGTTTACATGGGTGGGTGGTTTTCCTGCTGGGGCTGTAAGATTAGGGAGGATTGTTGCTTGGGAGGAGCGATTTTTTTGGGATGTATATTTTACAATTTCCTTCCTTTTTATCCACATAATATCATGATGGCCCATTTGTTGTCCGCATATGGTTATGATTAACTGTTTGTTGCCTAAATATTGTCACAGTTGCTCATATAGTGTCACGATTGTTTCTTGTCTGTATAGTGCCACAATCACTAATTTGTTGTCCATATACTGTGAATTATTTTTATTGCCTTTATGTTGCCCGTTTGCAACTACCCATTCATTCAGTACATATTGCCACGTTTAGTCATTTGCTACCTGCATACTGTCACAATTAATTTAGTCCCCTGTAGGCCTGTCACTATCAAGGCATGCTGCTATTATCCTCATTTCACCACATTGCACTACATGCGCTACTATTAAACCCTTGAATTTTATTCTATTTAGCATGCCATGTTTTTCCATTTTGAGCTACACACAGGACTGTTAAAATCTTGAGTTGTATTTTTTTCCAATATGATTATATAGAAAACATTTGGATAAAAAAGCCCTCAATATCAACATTTATTTTAATATTACTGCTAGAACTAATTTTGTAAATGTATAGCGAAGCATAGGGGGAGTGGGGTATTAAAAAAATAAGCTGCAACAGGTGTCAGCTATGCTTGGTATACCACTGATTGATTGACTTACAAACACACCAGACTTGACTTTTAATCATGTAACAAAATTATATGTTTATTTTCAGGTGAAAAGGAATTGCATACAATTTTGACAAAATCATGCATTTGTTTTTTTTTGTCTACATTTCCTAAAATCGTTCTACCAACCTGTAATTTCTCCACAATATTTTTGTAGTCCCACTGATTCTGAGTGGCACTGGCTCGAGTGAAGGTTCTTGTGGTTGTAGATTGCTTGTATGTGGGTTGGGTTCTCACCAGTGAACTAGAGGAGCTGTTCAGCATAGAACTTACATGAGAATCTAAATCCATAGGTAGAGCTATGCTCCGACTTTTGGCTAGAAAAAATGCAAAAACAAGATAAATATGTACCAGTAGATCATCCAAAATTTGTACAGATCACTTTCCCAGACACAGACAATATTACCTAAAGATGACAACAATAGATATAACAAATGTTTGTCTATTAGGAATTTTTAAATAGAGGTTTGCTTAAAGTGCATCTATGGATAAAATGTAAAATCATATATTCATTTCCACACTGCATTTAAATTATTTCTAGCCTACTCCTAATAATCCGAATGATTCTGAAGTTTGTCAACTTATCTTGTGAAGATCCTCCACACATTTACTTTCTTGTATTTTGTGACACATATTCACTATGTCCTGTGAGTAGGCACTGTTGTGTCACACACTTCACAGAACCTGCCTTCTGATCTAAAGAGCTGCTGAGAGGAGGAGTTTCAGGAAGTGAAGTCATTACAGGAATCACTGCTTGCAGACAGCAAGGTACCATGCAATATGTAATCTTTGAAGATTGAAAGTAAACAGCAGAGGAGAAAGTGCAAAGCATGCAGGGAATCCAGGAAGTTGTGGAAAGAGATGGCCAGAAGATATATTGTTTGTAATGCTATTAAAATGATTGTGTTGTAAAATGAATCTGGATTCTGTGACCACAATCTCCTTTAAACTTTACTACTAAACTAGGATTTTTTTACAGACACTCATGCTGTTGTGCAGTGCTGCTGAAAATTTATTTAGGCAGCCATATGTAATTTTTTTGGATGCGGGCACGGGATAAGATGCACATATAAATACCTTTTTAATGACACTACATCTTACAATGTGAATATTTGAGATGTTTAGTAACTCTAGGTTTTTGCAGTCTTTGTGCAGTATAATTAATTTACCACATACAGTTGCAAGAAAAAGTATGTGAACCCCTTGGGATTACGTGGAGTTTTGCATGAATTGGGCATAAAATGTGCTCTGAACGTCATCTAAGTCACAACAATAGAAGAACACAGTCTGCTGAACATAATACTACACAAACATTAGATGTTGCCATGGTTTAATTGCATATAACATGTAAACATTCACAGTTCAGGGAGGAAAAAGTATGTGAACCTTTGGACTTAATAACTGGTTGACCCTCCTTTGGCAGCAATAACCTCAACCAAATGTTTCCTGTAGTTGCAGATCAGACCTGCACAACGATCTGGAGTAATTTTGGACCACTCCTCTTCACAAAACTGTTTCAGTGTAGCAATATTCTTAGGATGTCTGGTGTGAATCGCTCTCTTAAGGTCATGTCACAGCATTTCAATCGGGTTGACTTCAGGACTCTGACTGGGCCACTCCAGAAGGCGTATTCTATGCTGTTGCAGCCATTGTTTTGTTGAATTACTTGTATGCTTTGGGTCATTGTCCTGTTGCATCATCCATCCTCTGCGGAGCTTCAGTTGGCGGACAGATGGTCATACATTTTCCTGCAAAATGTCTTGATAAACTCTGGAATTCATTTTCCCATCAATGACAACAATCCGTCCAGGCCCTGAGGCAGCAAAGCCCCAAACCATGATGCTCCCTCCGCCATGTTTTACAGTGGGGATGAGGTTTTGATGTTGGTGTGCTGTGCCTTTTTTTTCTCCACACATAGTGTTGTGTGTTCTTCCCAAACAACTCAGTCTCTTGGTTTCATCTGTCCACAGTATATTTTGCCAGTAGTGCTGTGGAACATCCAGGTGCTCTTTTGCAAACTTCAAACGTGCTGCAATATTCTTTTTGGACAGCAATGGCTTCCTCCATGGTGTCCTCCCATGTACTCTATTCTTGTTTAATGTTGTCCTTATTGTAGATGTGTCAACAAAAATGTTAGCATTTGCCAGAGATTTCTGTAGGTCTTTAGCTGACACTCTGGGATTCTTCTTTACCTCATGCAGCATTCTGCGCTGTGCTCTTGCAGTCATTTTTACAGGACGATCACTAGCCTAGGGAGAGTAGCAACAGTGCTAAACTTTCTCCATTTGTAGACAGTCTGTCTTACCATGGACACATGAACATCAAGGCTTTTGGAGATACTTTTGTAACCCTTTCCAGCTTCATGCAAGTCAACAATTCTTGATCGTAGGTCTTCTGAGAGCTCTTTTCTGCGAGGCATGGTTCACATCAGACAGTGCTTCTTGAAACCAGTAAACCCAAAACAGGTGTGTGTTTTTTAAGGGCAGGACAGCTGTTAGCAACACATCCAATATCATCACACTGATTGGAGTCAAGGTTGGCTCAGCTCACTCCTGGCTCCAATTAGCTCTGGGAGAAGTCATTAAGCTAGGGCCTCGCATACTTTTTCCTCCCTGCACTGTGAATGTTTACATGTTATGTGCAATTAAACCATGGCAACATCTAATGTTTGTGTAGTATTATGTTTAGAAGACTGTGTTCTTTTATTGTTGTGACTTAGATGACGTTCAGAGCACATTTTATGCCCAATTCATGCAAAACTCCACGTAATCCCAAGGGGTTCACATACTTTTTCTTGCAACTGTATAACATGTTTGTTGTTTTACAAAAATAATTAAACCTTTACAATCACTTTAAGTGTGTGCTTCTGTAAGTTCATTGATTATGTGCACTAACCCATAGCAACTTCAATTTAGATCTGTTAAACATGATTTCTGTTTGGTTGATATGGCTTACTGCACTTTTAGCTTTATCTTTGATATTTGTTCTGCTTGGCCTAAATAAAGCATCTATTCTATATGTTAATATTAAAAGATCTGTGTCTTGAGAGGTAAATAAAATCTGCTAAACCTAACTTCAAAATTGAATGATATATCACCATTAATCATTGAACATGGAATTTTATGTCCTTACCAACCATGGCCAGGGCCCGTATACATGCTTCTACCGAGCCCTTATACTGCTGCTGAAGCCAAGGACAGTCAAGAAGTCGAGTAGTGGACTGGAGTAGTTGGACAACTATAGTTTGATGAGTCTAAAATTATTAAATATCAGCCATTACATTCCACTCACAACATGATTTTACTACAAAAAAGATTTTAATTTAGCAACATATTTGGCAATGAATATGCATGTTATTAAATGATGAAGACACTGATGAATGAACACAAACGGAACATTATTCTAACCCGGCCTTTCTCAACTGGGGTGCCGCGGCACCCCAGGGTTCCACCAGAGGTCTTCAGGGGTGCTGTGGAGAGAATGGCTGTCACTTGAGCCAGAGCTCCCAATCCCCAGCCACACTGTACATAAGCACTGGGAGCCGTCAGACCGCTGAGCAAAGTAAAAGCAAAGGGAAGGGGAGTGTCTTCTGAGCTCTCTGCTTCCCCCTAGAGTGCAGTACCCAGCTGTGTGATGGAAGCTAAGGTACTGTAACTTTTCATAATGCTGTATATATGTGCGTGTATACGAGTGTGTGGTTACATGTGTGTGTGGACGTACATGTGTATGTGTGTACGTACGTGTGTACATGTGTATGTGTACATGTGTGTACATGTGTGTACATGTATGTGTGTATATGTGTCTGTGTGTATGTGCATGTGTGTGTACGTACATGTGTGTGTACGTACGTGTGTGTATATATCTATGTGTGTTTGTGTGTACATGTGTGTGTAAATGTGTTTGTATGTGTGGGTTTGTTTTTATATGTGTGTATATGTATTTTAGTTTTAATCTTGACCCCCTATTCCTGTCCTATCAGAACTGCTTTTTTAGGACTTGTTCATAATATCAGCAAGGACTGCTGCTCCTGTGAAAAGCAATCCATGCTCAGATCACTTTTCAGAGGCATTTGACAGGCGGTAAAGAGGCAATATGCACACAGTTGGGGGTGTTGTAGTTCAACTCCATTCACCTGGAGGTATACTTCCAGCTGCAGCAATAGCATGTGTATACCCCCAGCTGCTGTTTCTGAAGCTAAAGGAGGAGCAGTTGGGGGTGGTAAAAGCAGCTCAATTGCGTGGTTTTACTGCCCTCAAACCTCACGGGTGAACAGGCCCTTGGTTCACATCTGTGTAGCTGTGTGTAGGGCAGCCCATTCATTTCAATGGGCTGCCTTACCCGCAGAGATGCAGGGAAAGACGTCCCTGACTTAGGTTTTAAAATTGCACTACACCAAAAACACCCTGCGTTTGCCAATGTATGGGGTACCCCTAAAGAGCAGAGCATTTGTCTTCGTGTCAGGAATGAGCGCAATTTCCCGTGCGTTCTGCGACACACAGTAATGTGTGTAGCAAGCGTACACATTTAGATGGACGCAGTTCAACCATTTTGGCTTCAACCTCCATCTTGGCAAAGGGATTAACCATCCTGACAAACATATTTCCCCCTCCTTCTCCCCGTTCCCTCTCTGAGAGGCACAGTGACATTTGGCCAGTGTGTGTGTGTGTGTGTGTGTGTGTGTGTGTGTGTGTGTGTGTTAGGAGTGTCACAGGAGGCCAGAGCCCAGCAGGGGACAAGGAGCTATAAAGTCCCCAAGGGAGACGGGGCCTAGCTGTCCAAAGAACCTGTAAAATATACCACCTCGTATAACATAAGGCAAGCTTTCCCAGGAGCTCAAGGCATGCCAATGAAACACGAATCAGATAAACACTTTTCAAAATCAATTTTTCCTCTATGTCCCATATCTTGGAATATGAGAGACTTACATAAAAACCAGACATATCGTCAGATTGGCTAAGAGGAGACAAACAATTTGATGGGTCACTCTCCTTGTCTTGAATACATAGGAAAGCAGAAAAGTAGATCTCGGGAACCATTCAGTGTATAATTTCATAATTCATATCTAATCAATCCTCAGACGTGTCTGCATCATAATCTACCCGCGGGTGGAGTGTCACTTGTGCATAGGAAAAGTTATGAGCCAAAATATGAACTAATTGGTTCTAGTTTAGGGCTACGCCCAGACCTCCATGCCCTAAAAGGGGTATTGGTCCTTGACTTCAAAGACACCCCCTGCTGGGGAACTACAAATTGGGCTGTCAGGCCTAAGAGAGGGAGTTGAAGAATTCTCCCATTGACCATCGAAACAGAAGTTGAACAAAGCACCCTTCTGCTCTGAAACTTGGATCTGCTAACCCAGGACTTTGGCAAGTACCTTAACCCTTTCACCTCTCTCTGATATCTCTTTGCTGTGCTGTTGGTCTCTGTATATATATATATATATATATATATATATATATATATATATATATATCTTAGTTACATCTTTTTCTGTAAATATTTTTATTGCACCCGTTTGACCTTTTAGTAATAAATCTTTCCTTCTGAAAGTGTTGAACTGTTTCTATAGCTCTTAATTGCAATTTATGAATTCCTGCCTCTAAAGAGAACGCTACTGTGTTTGTTTAACCCTCTGTATAACCGGCCTGCGGTGACCGTTTTATACAGATGATTATCTCAACCATTATAGTGTTATAGCTGATATTGCCGAGTTTCCTCTTTCTCTGTACAAAAGGAGGTGGTGGCAGTGTGAAGAGTTAATTGCATAATTAACCTGACCCAGTAACAATTGCATTCAGGCTGCCAGTACATCGATTGTGGTCCAATTAGCTGGAAAATCATTGTGCAGGGTGCAGCTGGGTGTGGCATGGTTACGCACGTGACAGCGCAGTTTTAGATTGGCTAGTCCTTCGGTCACGAGTTTGGTGAGAAGGGCTGGGGTCTGATGCCGCGCCCCCGTCACATATTGGTGACAGCGATTGTGGGATCGTCGCATATTGGTGGCAGCGATCTCGAGTCCGTCACAACGTGAACCAAGCCTTGGACGGGTGCCTCGTGACTGAAAATACTTTTCAAGGGCGCCCCGACTGGAAAAAGTTGAGAAACATTGTTCTAACCTATTATCTACAGCACATTTAGACAGTGAAAAAAATTTATCTTGAGATAACAATGCTAAATTTGTATATAGGAATGTTTTTAAACACACAAGCACAAACAATTATATTGTTTATTGGCTAAATAATAAATAATTTACACTTTAAATAAAAATCTAAGGGCTGATGGTGTCGATGGGATTTGGGCTATGTCAAAAAACTTGCTTTTGACATCAGTTTGAGACACTTCTGATGATTCATAATTCATTGGCAGGCACATTTGACCTACAGCTGACCTCTTTTTAACTTGCTTCAAGCTGCTTTTGAATTTCTATGTACATGAAGAGGAAGGTAAGCAGTTCTGACACAAACAAAAACCTGCTGACCAAGCCTGATGGCCATGTACCTGCAGTGAAGTGCTGTTTTCTGAAAATGGAGAGTTAAAGAAGGACCTTATTGTCTCCAAGACCACAGTAAGAACATATTTCTCTAAGGTGGCATCAGGAAGACGCTTCTCACGCTTGTTACATACCTGACAAATAAAAAAATGAAAAATGTCACTTCATCCAACCAATTTTAGTTTTGAGGTTTACGTGCAGGTGTCATTTAGCTCAACTACAGCAAAACCATGAAAAAGCACTTGGCCTTTTATACTTACTCGAGCCATATCCAGGATGAAATTCTCAAACAGGGTCCATATGTGATTGGTGGTATAGATTTCCTTCATTTCTACCTCTGTATCCACATAACAATGGTTCACAAAGTTTACATAAGATATTTTCACCTTTAAAAGAAAAAGAATAACAATACTGAAAAAATCACATATCACATTCTCACATTATTCAGAAATTGGTGAGTTTCTCATTTTGTTTCTTTGGTGGGGAGAAATTAGAACAAATGGGAGGAGGAATGTGAAATTACAGGGAACGCATACATATTCTATGCACAAATAGCCCTAATGAGAATAATATTAAGGACCTCAGTGTTTCAAAGCAGGAATGTTAACCACTGTCAGCATGATACAAAAAACACAGCTACTATTTTATGTGTGAAAACAAATTATGTTTGAAATACTATCAAAACATAATTTTGACATCAAGGAAATACAGTAGCATATACCTAGGCATCAAGGATAATATACAGTATTTGCTTTGTGTTAATGAAGTAATATTTAGAGATTCAATTCAATCTTAGTAACAAAAGAAAAGATCTAAAACACTTAAGGCATTCATTCTTACCTCTGTGATACAGTCCTCATGGGTCACCACTCGCACTACATCCTCCAGAGGCAACAGAGACGTGCACTTAATCTCGGTGTAAACATTCTTGCCCTCAGCACATGCAGCAAGAAGATTAACCAGTGATATGTGGTACATAAGGGGACTGTTTTCTTCCACACCTTCACGAGCTGCTGCCATCAGTTCCAGCATTGAAGTGAATGATGCTTTGTCATTGTAGAAGACTACCACATCATCTCCTGCATTGGTCAGCTGAAGAGAAAGAAACGTTTTAATTTTTTAATGTGTAGCTTATGGCACAATCTTGTGAGTGCCTAAACCCAGCATTTTATATACTGTGGATACCCACATGATTCTACTAGCATTGTGGACAGATATTTGTACTTGCATAATTTTTGAATGAGTTCAGATTGGAAAATTTTGGTATAATTTATATAATGAGTAATTCATGCCCTTAAAAAGTATAATGTAGAAAAATATTAAATAGTGTGTTAGAAGTCAGTGACGTTATATAAACGTCATGTGTTCCCTACCTTTGCTACACTCCAGTGATATAACAGGCCACTGGACAGATGTAAATAACACCTATTGCAGGACAGCTCAAGTTTTTATTATTGCATTCAAGACAGAGGCTCTTAAAAAGCACACCACCCAACTCATTTTTACTCACCCTCACTGTTCCACTCCTTCCTCTATCACAGTTGATACAAAATACCCTATGTAAGTTCCATGTCAGGTGGTGTTGGAGCTTATAAATGGTTAATAATGTCACCTTCTCCAACATATAGCAGTGTTTAGGCCTGGCAATCAGCTGCTTAGACCTGAGCACTGCATCATGAGAGGAGCTCAAAAGCTCCCCTATACCTTGTAGCACTTCATATTTTGCAACAGTTGTTACAGAGGATGGAGTGGCAGGGAGTTCTACAAGTGTGGGTTAAAGGGTGGGATAGCAAGTATCCTTATTTGTGTTCTGATTTATTCTCTTTTAAATATGTATGGAAATATTATTTTACCTTTTTTAAGTGTATTAGTTTTATATACACACACACACACAGCACCCTGCTATTGCAAGATGCTAGGTAATTGTAATTTTTTACTCCTTCTGCAATCAAGGGAGCAGTGATTGTTTTAGTCTGGTCTGTTCCGGGTTTCACAAGCTGGGAGATTGATTGCTTCCCCCTGCCTCTAGAACAAGTTTCTAGAGCTTAGGGAGGGAGAATAACCAACCTGAATATTGATCAAGGCCTAGCCAATCCCTGGGGGATGTGTGCCCAGATGGTGGCTGGGAAGCTGATAAATAGTCTAGCGCCTTGGAGAGAGGGTCTTTCCCCAACAAGGGGAGCCTATGGACTGTGTTACTGTTCTGTGAGGTATTAGCGGTCAGGAGCTGGGACCAGACAGTGTTTTGGAACTGCAGGACTTCACCAAAACAATCTGTTCTGGAGAAGGACTGTCTCACTCACTGAGTCCACAGGAGGCGGCAAGACAGCAGCTGTCCTGAGGACTTGTGAGTAATTTCCCTGAATTGATTCCTGGTGACTATGTGCTTTTTGGATATACGTGCCAGAGGTTGCATGGACTGAGGCTGCTTTCATACGGTCTCAAATACTGGGCATTCCCCCTCCTCAGCAGTGTCCTGGTCTGTCAGCTTAGAGATGAGTGCCCTCCTGTACTGTGCAGTGTTCCTGAGATTGCACTGGGTACCAATAGTAGCTGAGCAGTTGTGCAAGGTAACTCGCCTTATGATCCCCAGCTGTGAGATGTTAGACCGTCCAATATTCTCAGTTTCATAAGGAGAAGGTTGTCCTTTCACAGCCAATTGTTAATTGTTTTGGAGTATCCCATGCCCTAACACCCCCCACCTCCCCCGAGTAAGTGGACTGTTGCTTGGCTGGATGGTGGCCTCTGTACTGTTTGCTCATTCCAGGATCTCCCTCAGTGCATGCTGCCATCACCAATGGCAACCTAAAAGGAGACTGAGAAGTGGTTTTCTGTGAACTGTCCGGCTGTGTTTATGCAAGAGAGGTTTGCTGCAGTGCTTGATTGCAATGAAGTGTCTGTTTTTCTGAAGAAATGGTGCCAGTGCAAAAGAGTCACAGGTGCAGTGAAAGGAGGCCACTCTATGCGAGAGCAGCTCGCCAAGGTGGCTGGAAGAAGAGTGGTGGGGCTGTTGCCAGCATGTGCACGGTCACCAGGGTGTTATTACAATATGTTGCCAAAAGTGTTGGGACGCCTGCCTTTAACAGACAGTTGGCGATTACTGTGCACTGTGCGCTTCAGCATGCGCTGACCCTGCTCTGTCATTTTGCGTGGCCTATTACTTCGTGGCTGAGTTGCTGTTGTTCCCAGTTTCTTCCACTTTATTACAATACCACTAACAGTTGACCGTAGAATATTTTAGTAGCAAAGAAATTTCACAGATGGACTTATTGCACAGGTGGCAACCTATCACTGTACCACGCTTGAATTCACTGAGCTCCTGAGAGCAACCCATTCTTTCACAAATGTTTGTAGAAGCAGCCTGTATGCCTAGGTTCTTGATTTTATACACCTGTGGTGGCCACGGAGGTGATTGGAACACCTGAATCCAATGATTTCAATGGGTGTCCCAATACTTTGGGCAATATAGTGTATGTGCAGCGAGAGTACCAAGATGGCATATTGTTAGGTCTTCGGTTACTGGGCGGTGATGGTGGGGAGAGCTGCTAAAGGTTACAGGTAGGCGCCTGGTGCGTAATGGGTTTCGGGTGTTCTGCATGGTGAAGTGACCAAAGCACATCAGGACACCAAATCTAACTGCACCCATTACTCTAGAGGCTGTCGAAGGTTGTGCTGGAAAAGACAGCAGTTGTAGCACACCTGTTGCAGCTGCACCAGAGAAGCCAAGGGTTGCGAGTCAAACAGGTGTGCTTATAGCAGGAGGCAGTGATGAAGGGACTGATCCAGGATCACCTCGTTTCAAACCTGCAGCAGAAGTTTCAGAAGAGCAGCTGGGGAACTGGAACTGTTCGAGGTCCTCACAGTCAGGATGGTTCAAGTGCCTGATCCTGAATACTACAGATGAGCCTTTATCTGAGCTTCGTAAATTGCTCCCTTTGCTGCCATTATGACCAGGTAGGCAATTACCACAGTTTTCTGGCCGCCACCAGTGTCTGTTGAAAAACTGAAGTGTAATGTTGCCTAAAGTAGGGGGCAATGTGTATCCAGATGGGTGACAGGCCATGCACATTATGCAACACAGATCTGCAGAGAGGGGGGGGGACCTTAAAGACCTACATCTCAGTCCTCCCCAAAGAAGGCAAGGACCTCTCATCCTGTGTAAGCTACAGACCGATATCATTGCAGAATGTTGATCTGAAGCTGTTTACCATGATGTTGGCTTCCCACCACCAATAGCACTTGTCAGAACTGATTCATATTGATCAAATTGGGTTCATTCTGACTTGTGAAACACGGGACACTACAATCAAGGTCCTGAACCTTATTTATGTGGCTAACTCATACCCCATGTGTGTTTCTGGGCACTGATGCCGAGAAAGCTTTTGATCGGGAGGTTTATGAATTGGAGGTTTAAGTTTACAGTTCTACATTACATTGGACTCGTGGATACCATGCTTAATTGAATTTTGAAAATATATTTCTTGCCAATGGCACTGGTCAAGGCTAATGCAGTCCTTTCAGATCCATTCCCTTTTACTATTGGGACTCGACAGGGATGTCCCCTGTCTCCCCATCTTTTTGCGCTCACACTTTAACCCTTCCTTTGCAAGATCAGTTTGAATCCTGATATCATGGGCCTTAAAGTAGGGGAATCTCAACACAAGATATCAACCTATGCCAACGACATGCTATTTTCCTTGACCAACCTGTGGTGTCCCTTCCCAATCCTCTCAGTGAATTCGAGCTCTGCAGAGCCCTGTCTAGTCTCAAGATTAATTTCACCAAGTCAGAGGCGATGGGAATTGTGCGGGATCTGAAATACCTTGGTACACTTATAGCCTCCCGCCTATCTTGTATCTTTGACCTTAATTCCCTCCACTTTTGGTAAAAGTATGCCCGTTATTGGAGACGCGGCATCACGGCCTGCATTCATGGTTTGGTCAATGCAACATTCTCAAAATGAACATCTTACCAGAATTCCTATAACGTTTCCATACTCTACCTATCGTTATCCTCCCACAATATTTTCAACAAGTACGTTCTCTTTTTATTGAGTTCATCTTGGCCGACAAACTGCCCACAAACTATTGACACTGCCTAAGCAATTCAGGGGACTGGCTGCCCCAGACATACATAACTACTACCAAGCAGCCCACTTAATAGACTCATTGGCTGATACCAACATGCAGACCTTATGCTCTGGCCAAGACAGGAACAGGTCCAAACCTGTATCCCCTTGAGTAGAGCACTGTGGCATTTTGGGGAATTACCCCCTGCTCTCAAAGCTCACCCTGCAATTGGACCCATGACCCAAATATGTTCTCAACTTCTCTCTAGCACCACATTGACTTCCACTGACTCCCCACTCTCTCCTATCCTAGGCAATCCAAGTTTTCTTCTGGGTCTTCAAGATGGACCTTTTCATGCTTTACTAGACTCTGGGTGGGTTTCAAGCTTTCCATTTCCTGATAGCGGAAGATTTGGCCTTCCCTGCAGTTCCTGGTGAACTCCATGGGCCCATTCCACTTGGACTTTTAGTGGACATTGCACTTGCATCATTTCTTGCAGTCCCTTCCATGTCCACATACCTTTTGTCGCCATCCCTACTTTGAGGAATACTGTACCAACCCAGGAGCTCTTCCTCATTCACTTTCAAAGGTCTACTCTTTATTGATAGCACTCCCAGATGATTATTGACTGCCCTCCTTTGAAAAATGGGAATCGGATCTGGGTAGAACTTTTACAGTGGATCAACAGAATAATATTATTAGGTTCACCCTGAAATCCTTGATTTGTACGAAAGTCCAGGAAACCAATTTCAAAATTCTGACCCATTGGTACTGCACAACATCACTCTTACATAAACTCTTTCCAAATACTTCTGATCGGTGCTAGCGATGCTAGGAGTAGTGTGGGGACAATGCTACATATTTTTTTGGTCCTGCCCTAGTCTCCATAATTGCTGGGAAGAGGTTTGGAAAGTTGTCCAAAAGTTTAATGATTATAATGTCCCAGAGGAC